ATGGTGGTCAGGAATGTGGCCATCATATCCTTTATATAGGGGAGTCATGCTAAATTAGGGTATTCACTATGGGCCTAGTACACCCAACGTACTAGGTGGCTTCCATGTCAAAAGCACGCATATTAGTACGTTGAGCGTACACTCGTGTACACCCCGCGTACGCATTCACCACCATTTCTCAAAACGGGCTAAACTATACAAGTACTAAAAAGACCAATGGTAACAAGGTATACATGGACTTGGGATTTTACAATTCTCCCCCAATAGAATCAGACTTCACCCTCAAAGTCATGCTCCGAAAATAAATTAGGATATAACTCTCGTATCTCTGACTTCGGCTCCCAAGTCGACTTGGGCCCTTTCTAATGTTGCCACTAGACCTGAACCAGGGGAACCTATTTGTTTCTTAGAACCTTCACCTTTTGATCCAAAATCGCGATCGTCCTCTCAATGTAGTTCATGCTAGCATCCACCTGAATGTCCTCTAGTGGTACCACCATCGTCTCATTGGCTACACACTTTGTCAATTGGGACACGTGGAAGGTGTTATGAATCTAACTCAACTCTGCAAGTATATCAACCCAGTATGCTACCTTACCCACTATGAAAGGACCAATGTACTGGGGCCCCAACTTGCCCCGTTTCCTGAATCGAATCACCCTTTTCCAAGGGGATACCTTCAAGATTACAAAATCTCCGACCTAGAACTTCAACTCAGATCGTCGCCTGTCTACATAACTCTTCTTGCGACTCTAGGTTATTAGTAACCTCTGTCTGACCTGCTGAATCTGCTCAGTCTTCTTCAACACTATCTTAGTGCCACCGATCACTCGCTTCCCTACCTCTCCCCAATAAATGAGAGTCCAAAACCTCCTCCTATAAAGAAGCTCAAAGGGTGGCATAACAATACTCGAACGTTGGCTGTTGTTGTAAGAAAACTCAGCCAAGGGAAAATTAGTGTCCCAACCACCATGAAAGTACATAACACATGCACGCAACATGTCCTCAAGCGTCAAAATTATCCACTCGCTCTGCTTGTTAGTGTACGCATGGTATGTCGTATTTAAATGTAATCCGGTACCCAAATCCTCATGAAATTTCATCCAGAACCTGGAAGTAAAGCACATCTCTCGATCTGACACTATCGAGGTCGGCACTCCATGCCAAGCTACCACCTCTCTCACATAAATCTCTGCCAATCTCAATGCAGAAGAACTCTCACTGATAGCGAGGAAGTGAGCGCTCTTCGTCAGCCGGTCCATAATCAACCAAATCGCATCAACTCCATGCGCAGTCCTCGATAACTTGGTGATAAATTGCATAGAAAATTGTTCCCACCTCCACTACGGAATCTCCAAAGGCTGCAATGCACAATGTGGTCACTGGTGCTCCGCCTTAACCTGACGACAGGTCAAACACCTCTCTACAACCCATCCCAAATCCCTCTTCATACAAGGCCACCAATAATCTCTCTTTAGGTCCAAATACATCTTAGTGGCCCCTGGATGGATCGAGAAGCTCGATCTATGTGCTTCCTCCAACAATACACGACAAGCTCCACCTGTATAAGTCTAATATCCCAAAATCGAGACCTAATGTTTTTTGTTTAATTACATTACTTATGAAAATAGTTTATGGAAAATATCATTGCTATCTTTTCAAAACATCAAGTCACAAATCACAAGTCTCGAAAACATAACATCAAATAGTAAAACATTAGAGTACAATCCAAGGGTTCTCAATGCGAAAGGCATATGTGTGCAATGCGATCCTATCCTATTGGCTCCTTCCCCTTAGCTAAAGAGGTACCTAAAACCAAAACTACAAACGGTAAGCACGAAGCTTAATGGATTCTGTTGGATTAGGTGTCTAAGTTCATAACGTGGATTCTGTTGGATTAGGTGTCTAAGTTCATAACAATTTTTGTAATGTACTTGACCCGGTTAGCATGGTCCATTTTGGGTTGCATGGAATTGAAACACTTGGATAGACTAACTGAGAGAAAGGACACTTATAAGTTATAATATATTAATAATATTATTTAATTAGTTTTGATCAATAATTAATTTAGAATTAATTTGGTGATCAAAAGGAGACTAATTGAATATATGGGGTTGATTGTGCAAATCATCCACTCTTTTATAGTGGGCTAATGATCCATTGTTTATTGAATTGGGCGAAAACCCATAAGATGCTCCATGGATAGTCCATAGTGATTATAAAACCATGGATCATGGAATATGAAAATCCATGTAAATTAGGGTTTACATCTTGTAACCCTACTTGTGACATAACTATAAAAGGACCCCATGGGCTACCAAAATCGACGCTATGTTTAGAACAAGAGGGCCAGCCGATTTTGAGTGATATTGTACTTCTCTCAAAGTTATTCCAAGATTTGTGGTGTTGTGTGAAATATCTGAGGCATTACATTTGAGGTGTTATGTCACACCCCCAAACTAGAACGGCAGAAACGTTCGGGGGCAGAGGACGTCATATTCAGTATCATAACAACTGCATAGTAACGGAAGTACACACCACAATATATATATATATATATATATATATATATATATATATATCAAAAGGTTTACATGATTGCAATTTGTTACATGTCTAAAAGTAGTTGCTAACCTTGCTTGACGGTTTCCTAAGAATACAAGTTATTTCAAGAAAAAGTGTCAACAATTAAGTTGGTGAGTTCATAAGTAGTATTTTGAGAAAATGTAGGCCATTCGAAAGTTCGTGTATGTTTTCCAGAAAATCCCTTATTTTCTTATAGATGTATGAAATGAGTATGACAGATCATTGTATGAATTGTAAATAGTTGAACCAAGAAAATCCCTAATTTTCCAAGACTGTAAAATGTAAGCAACTATAACATGCTTAAAAAGATAGAGGTATAGTTTTATATAATAAAACTATATAAAGATCAAGCTTGAAAAATATGAAAAATAACATTAATAGTTACTATTCATCGAAATCATAATACCATAATAATTGTCTATCCGATGAGTTGTTATAACCATACTATCATAGTTTTGCCTTTGGAAACGTTCTTCAGGCGTCGAAATGTTATGACACTTGTCACCCAAAGGATTGTAGCTAATAGTCAGGATGTGGGATCATTAGTCTCGTATAGATCTATACACACGTATAATGTTCTCCAAACGGGAGACTATGGTTATAAATAGGGCTTTTGTTGGTACCTTTAACAAAAGGTAGAGTGAAGGCGAATCATCTCACGGATTCTCAACTAAGTCGCGTATTGAAATGATGAGTTTGTATGCAATGATTATCCTTTTAAACAATGTAAACAAAGGCATAATTCGTGTCTTCTTGAAAACATAAAATAGTTTAACAAGAGTGGTTATCGTTGGTATAATGCATATGTATAGATGAGATTCGTAATAGTATAGTTTTGTTTCATCCTATAAGGATAAACCATGTAAAATGTGTTTTACATGCTTAAAAAATCCATTTTATAGACAAGATAATCACATGCAATGTATAGCAAAAGTTTCCATATTTTCAGTCGGTATTAACCGGGTCTTTACTTGTACTCTCCCCCGTAATATGTTCAAAACATTTATAAAACATTTAAAAGAGTAGAAATGGGGGTATGAACTCACTTGATAAGTGGTGAATTGAACAGCGTTTCATTTCTAAGAAGGGTCATTGTTAACGTAACCGCATGTCTCAGGTGAAGAAACGAGCTACACGCGGGCAGTACTTCGACTGATAAGAAGCTATTTCTCGGGAGATTCGGAGCGTTGGGACTCCCATCATGTGTGAGAGGTGTTACCAGGGCATCGGGGTGGTTTAGAAGGGCTTAATAGCATGTAGAAGTATGAGAATGAAGAGAATTGAGCAACTAAACTGGGAACCACTTAGGTTCTATTTATAGGTTGATTTTTGGGTCTCACGTCATGAGCATGGACTTGCTCATGTTGTGAGGTCGATCCTATCCTCTTCCACGGACGAGACGTCTGCTGCCATCTCTAGAACCCATCAGTCACAGGCTCACGTTGTGAGCTTCTGGCTCACGTCGTGGGCTACCTGGCAGCCTCAAACTTCATGTCTCGAACTTGTAAAATCCGTAACTTTCGTGTACGAGCTCCAATTTTTACGTTCTTTATACCCACGCCACTACTAGAAAAATAGCCTTTTACGATGCTCATTGCGCGTTGTAAAAGGCTCAGATGATGCGTAAATGCGCATCAAGGAAGGCCCTGTCATAAAGAGAGACGATGCACTTTTGCGCGTCATTTATAGACGACGCGCATTTACGACGTTCGTTTACGACGCACGTTTACGACACGCAATGTGTATCAAGGAAGACCCTGTCATAAAGAAAGATGACACACATTCGTGTGTCTTAACCTTATGACACGCGTGTTAATGACACGCAATGCGTATCAAGAAAGCCCCTGTCAAGAAAGGCCATGTCATAAATGAAGATGACACAGATTTTTGAGTATTGTAAATTTCAATGTTTAAAAAAATATTATTATATATTTATTAATTTTTAAATTAAATTTTCATTTAATGTCTCATAATAGAAATAAAATACCATATACCAAAAATACAATTCATTGCATATAATGTAATGTCATACAATTCTATTTCTTACATTATATAAATTTACATTCATCTAATCTAATATGTCTTTCATACTAACAATTGAAATGAAGAATGAAACACTTGTATTTGCAGCATCTTATTCCTTTCAGCTTCAACTTTCTTTTCCTCTTCTAACTCCAGAGCTATTTGTTGTCATCAACCCTGTAATCACAACTTTGACATTTCCATTGGCATGATCCGCATATAGAGTAGATGTGATCCCCATAGCATTAAGCCCAACATTCTCAGCTAATGTTTTTGGTATCATTTCAAACCTCTCTGCAAATTTTCCAATTGTATACTGAACTAATCTTCATCATATCAATCATCAATCAAAAACCAAATTTAGTAAAACAAAAACTAATCATTCAGATTACCTAGCATGTCTCCAAGAAAAAAAACTCCTTCAGTTTTCTTGCTAATTCAATTTCAGTGGCTGTAGCTCCAGGCACAATTCTACTGTCCTTGCATAAGGCCTAAAAAAATACAAGGAATAAAAATATAATTTATACAAATAGTAATGCATTTTATCTTGTTACTAAATGCAAAAACACGAAGCAACAAAATTATGAACTCTGACTTTAGGTTTTTCCTAAAAAAATTTCCTTTCATTTCCCAAACTGCCCTCTCATTGTTTTTGGTGAAAGAAAAAAGAAGGTACAAATTACCTTGTAAATATTTACACCATCATCAACAGCCCTTTCCAGATCATCAAGTATGCTATTTGTACTTCCACGCAGCAAAACAGTTGTCACAGAGTTCCCACCTTGTCGTTTCTTACAACACTCACGTACACAAAAAAGAAAACAGCAGGGACATTTTTGTCCTTATAAAAAACTGTAATTTTTGTCCTCTTGACATCAGTCTCAGTCACCAATTCATCATTTGAATTGATGATCTAAAAAATATAGAGATATTCTAGGAGCATCTTGTTAGTGCAGAGGAGTTAGGGGCATTTTGGGCATTTAATATTACTAGTTTTTGATGTTAGATAGTTAGGGCCATTTTGGGCATTTCATAATAAATTGATCATTGAAGAAGTAGGAGAAAAATACATTGTACTTGGTACCAAAGAACATAATGTAAGCAGTACATAATACTCAAATACAAACAGGGCTGCTGTTCAGGAAACAGGAGCGCAAGCTCAAAACTAAAATCATTTGACTCCTAGAGCAACAGAATCAGGAAGAGAAGATGCGTATAAGTAGAAGATAAGAACCTTGGACTTTGGAGAATTGGAGAGCTGAAAAATCACATAGGTTCCCTCCTCTTCGCCAGCGTGGGACCGACTTGCGATTAGCTTCCCTACTAGTAAAATCAGTGGGAACATCTTCCAGTCCAATGAAGGTAGTCAATCTAAAAAAAAATTGAGATTATTACCCATGAAAATTAAGAAAAGATTATGATGTGAATATGACAAATTTACCCCAACGACCAATACTTTGAGAATAAACAATATTGAAGGCATATATTCTAGTAAGAGCGCCTTAATATTCTTAAAAGTTCTATAAGTTATGAAAAAAATTGTTATAATGGGGAAAGAACTAAGACAATAAGCATACCATGTCACCTGGTAGGTTACCATAGCCTGCCACACATATAACTAGAGAAGAAATGATTAAGGGCAAAATAGTCTTTTAGTATGAAAAGAGTGTAGGAAAAAAAATCAAAAAATATATTTTTTGAAGGATACACTTTCCCTTTGGGTTCCAGCGAATGGTATTGTAAGGGCCTGTTCCAAGCTCCATTAGAGGATTGCACTTTTTGTCAAAAATTGTCACCATTGCAGGCACAACTATTGACATGTCAAGGAAACAATATAAAAACAGTAATTGTAGATGCTAATGCTAAAAATGGTAAAAGAAAAATTATATGTTTCATTGGAGGACTCGATCTATGTAATGGTCGATACGATAATCCAAAGCATCTGATATTAAAAACCCAAGACACAATACACGCAGACGACTTTCATAATCCTACTTTCGCGGTATTCTATTTATAACTTTCCATTTAATCATTATAAACTATATTAAAAAATTCACACGATTTCAATATATCATTAGTGATGATGTTTTATTTTTTAAAAAGGGTAATAGTCTTGCGGGTTTGTCCTAGAGAACCATGGCATGATTTACATAGTAAAATTGATGGTCCAGCTGCATATATATGATATTATGAAAAACATTGAGGAGAGATGGTTAAAGGCTTCAAAAGCTAGTGGTGTAAAAAAAATTGAAGGCTATGTATGATGATGCTTTACTCAAAATAGATACTATGCCAGAGTTTTTAACTGTTAATGATGAACCTTGCCTTAGTGATCAGGACCCTAAAGGCTGGCATGTACAGGTAAAAAAAAATTAAATTGCAAAATTGGTCCCTTTGATATCCCAAAAAGTGCAGTTCGAGTCCTTTTTATAGAGGGAAGTTAACTCGAAG